CCCGTTCATGCTCTGTCTCTCTCTGTCCCAAAAAAATAAACTTTTTTTTAAAAAAATAAATAAATAAATCTTTTAAAAAAGTCTCTAAATAACTGGCTAATTAAAATCAGGTTACCCCCATATTAGTTAGGCTCGAGGTTAAGCAGCTGTATTAAAAAGTTCCCCAACACAGTGGCTCAAACAGAGATGTTTAACTTCTCATGTGATGGTATACAGATGGCAGCTTGTCAAGAGCGTATCAGCAGCAGTGCTCGACAGGACATTGAGGGACCCAGCTTCTTTCTACCTTGTTGCTCCCTACTCCTGACGGCATTATCCTCCTCTGCTCAGCCAAAGCTGACCCAGCTGCAAATCTGTTTTTAGCCCTAGAGAGGGCAAAGAAAACTGGAGACAAATGTCATTTCCACTCACATTTCATTGGTGAGACCTAGTCACATGGCTATAGTAGCTGCAGAGGATGGAAAATGTAATTTCCAATTGATGGCCACGTGGCTGGCAAAAATTACAGTGATGCTACGAAACCATATACCAGATCCACCTTAGAGATTTATGTAGCCCATGGCAACTGCTGTATTCCTCTAGGGATGCACCGGGGAAGCACGGCAGAAGGCACGAGTCTGCAAATTTTTCCTACAAAGAGCTGTGTAGTAAATATTTTAGGCTTTCTGGGTCAGGTACTCTTTTGTGACTACTCATCTCTGCTTCTATAGTGCAAAAGCAGTCAGAGACGACACAATTCCATGTAAACAAAAGAGCACGGCTGTTGTTTTAGCTATCCAATACACTCTAACAAATTACTACAGTTAGATGTTTATTCATTTATTTATAGATTAATTAAAAATTTTTTTTAAATCTTGTTTTTTTTTATTTTTGAGACAGAGAGAGACAGAGCATGAGCAGGGGAGGGGCAGAGAGAGAGGGAGACACAGAATCCGAAGCTGGCTCCAGGCTCTGAGCCATCAGCACAGAACCCGACACGGGGCTCGAACTTACGGACTGTGACATCATGACCTGAGCCGAAGTCAGACACTTAACTAACTGAGCCACGCAGGCACCCCTAATTAAAAAATTTTTAATGTTTATTTAGTTTTGAGAGGGCAGTGGAGGGGCAGAGAGAGAGGGAGACAGAATCCAAAACAGGTTCCCGGCTCCCAGCTGTCAGCACAGAGCCTCACGTGGGGCTCGAACTCATGAACCGTGAGATCCTGACCTGAGCTAAAGTCAGATGCTTAACTGACTGAGCCATCCAGGTGTCCCCTACAGTTAGAAGTTTAAATCAACACACATTTATTACCTCACAATTACCATGGGTCAGGACTCTGGGTCCTTCATGTAGACTCTCACAAGGCTGCAACCACGGTCAGTTAGGACTGTGTTCTCATCCACAGGCTTGACTGGGGAAGAATCCACTTCCTAGTGCACTCAGGTTGTCTTGCAGCTGTAGGGCTGAGGGCCTTGGGCCTCGACTTCTTATTGGCTACTGGTCAGCTCCTAAAGGTCACCCACAGTTCCCTGCCACGTGGCTGTGTCGACAGCCCCTGTCACAACATGGCAGCTTGTTTCTTCAAAGACGAGAAGGGAGAAAATCTCTACAGTGAGTTTGGTAGCATGACAGAATTTTATATAACATAACCATCCTGGGGGTGACATACCATTTCTGTGCCATATTTGAGTGGTTAGGAGCCTGTAACAGGTGGTGTTCACACTCAAGGACAGAGGATTATAGTGAAATGTGAATACCAAAAGGCAGGGGTCACTGGGAGCCTGTCCACTAGAGCTTTGTTCCAATAAAACTTGATAAAAACAAGTGGTGGGTGGAACATAGTTTGTTGAGCCCTGGAATAGTGAATAAGGTGTAGAAGACGTTCTTTAAGGTAAGAGGGAGAAATTCATAGAATAGAGTCAGAGCAAAAGACTGGTCAGAGCCAGAAGGGCTTTGTAGAAAGAGAGTCCTAGAAAAATAAAAAATTCAGATTCCAGACCCATCCCATAATACATTGACTATGGGAAATTACTATTTTTATAATAATATATAATTTTATAATAAAACTGGAAAATATATCTATATACTTTTTACATAATCCCACCCCTAGTAACCTATGCTAATATAATGACAGATGAAGTGTTGGGGTTACAGATATAAAAATATGCACCAATGAGTTCTTTAGTATGTTAAAAAACTGGAAATAGTCTAAATGTCCAACAACAGATTGGCTAACTAGAGAAAGTATAGCTCATGCACATGGTGGGCTATTTAATATACATTAAAATTATGTTTTAGATAAAGGACAGGAAAAATGCTCTTGTAGAATGTTACATAAGCAAAGCAAAGTACGAAATGGTATTTATGGTATTATTCCAATGTATTAGGAAAGGAAGAAAAAAGAGAAAAAAGGAACGAGAAAGATATAAGGGTAGGAAAAAAACTCACTTCAATAAAATCTACCAAAATGTCATTTTAACAGCCATTCTGGATGATAAGATTCTATAATTTTATGTTACCTCTTTATTACTTTTGGTTTTTCCTAATTCAAAATAATTACAAATTATGACTGGAGAACTTCAGATATTATTTGCAGTAGGTGTAAAAATATCACGTTGGTTCCTTTCTAGCAATTGGTTCCTTTCTATTTGTATTCAATACTCATGCCAAGCACTCACACGAGAATGCTAAGAGGTTTCAGTTCCTATTTGTCCTTACACCCATCTTATTTCTGTGAAAAAGTAGCATGTATTTAATATTGCTTGGGAATGATATTTTCTTTGACCTGTGTATTGTAACGATGGTGGTACCTTAAGGAATGAAAGGATCCGCAATTAAATACATTTCAGGAAGGGGCGCCTGGGTAGTTCAGTCGGTGAAGCATCTGACTTCGGCTCAGGTCATGATCTCGCAGTTCATGGGTTCGAGCCCCATACTGGGTTGTGTGCTGACAGCTTGGAGCCTGGAGCCTGCTTCAGATTCTGTCTGTCTGTCTCTCTCTCTCAAATAAATAAATGTTAAAAATTATTTTGAAAATATATTTCAGGAAGAAATTATCTTCTCAGTTGGAATTACACCTTCTACTTGTCCTTTCTTCAATGCCTTTGGTCAGACTTTCTTGTACAAGACTCATGGAGAGAAAACTACCTACCACATTTTTGTACAGGTTTAGATATACTCTTTAGAGAGCATAAAAGCAGGTCTTTTAGGGAGTGTAAAATGAGCTACTAATCGAGAATTTCATTTTGGAATGTCACATTTAATTTAGGTACCTACACTGGGAGTTAAATTGGCCATTAAACCAATGAAAACTTCTACCTAGCCATATGGTCACTGTCAGGAAGGCCTAACAAATTTAACTTGAGATGATGTATGTTTTGTTGCATATAAGAAGTCTGAAAGAATATTTACCAAAATGTTTAAGCAGTCAGGTAGTTCCCTCTGGAAGTGGCAGAACACAGCATAAAAAAATAAGGCGGCTCCCATAAGCTGGATATGGAAATAAAGGCCATTATATTATAAATATGTCTTCCTGATATCTTATCAATGGAAGTTAAAGTTAAAAAAACTTTTCAAATTAATCAACTATGGACAGCAACTATAAATTACTTTCTGACATAATCCAAACTCCCAATTCTAAGCAACATTATAGCACACATAAATAATGGCATAAATTCCATATACTGAACATTTATTTGAAACACCTTTAACACTTGTATTATGCAGATGCATTTAATCCTGATGGCTCTGTTTGTTTAGCCACAGGACATTTCTGAAATCAAATTCCTTCATATGAACAAAGTTGTGCTTACGGGCACTTGGGTGGCTCAGTCAGTTAAATGTCCGGCTCTTGACTTCGGCTCAGGTCATGATCTCATGGTTCCTGAGTTTGAGTCCCACAACGAGTTCTAGGCTGACAGCATGGAGCCTGCTTGGGATTCTCTCTCTCCCTTTCTCTCTGCCCCTCCCCTGCTCATGCTCTCTCTCAAAATAAATACATAAACCTAAAAAAATAATTATACAGAAAGTCATGCTTGACTCAAATTAATCTCTAAGTCTCTATCATTTTCTCCTCTGCTCCTCTCCCTCTGTCTCTCTGGAAACAACACAGAACAGATATTTCATTTCATAAAAAATCCAACTGATAGTATTGCTTTTATAGGCAACCATACTCACATTTATATATAGTCAAAGCATGAAACACTGTGGACTTCAACTAATTCTACAAGATAAAAATTTTATTGACTAAAATTAATTAACATATTTACAGAAATAAAGTGTCAAAGGTATCTGTTTCAAAATTTTAAGGATACCCATATTTCACACTCACTACAATTATTTTTACTTACGATCTGAATCCGTCTTCCATACTATGAAGTGAATCATTATTAACTTGCAGTACAAAGAAAAGAGCACAAAAACCTAGACTATTATTAAATCATTACACTCAGAGAAAAAATTAAAGTGCTCAGAGAAGCTCACACTGGAATCAATTGATGTACCACAACCAGCTCTAGTTTAAATTTCTTTCCTATGTTACTTCCCAACCAAACATACTCATTATATTCAAGGAAAAAGGAAGTATCTGATTGCATTTGGTTCTGTTCTTGCTTTTGTTAATATAAATAGCCACGTTCTGTATTCCGAGGTACACATTATACTTTGCATCCATGGACTATCCACGAACCCTCCTTGATACATAAAGGTGTCATCAAAAATGTAAAAAATAAACAGGTCAGGCAATAAAGCAAAAACAAGACAATAAAAACAGTATGGTATTTACTGCTGTTTCCTTTATTTTTTTTCCCTTAAAATTTAAAAAATGTTTTTATTTATTTTTGAGAGAGACAGACAGAGCATGAGCAGGGGAGTGGCAGAGAGAGAGAGGGAAACACAGAATCCCAAAGCAGGCTCCAGGCTCTGAGCTGTCAGCAGAGAGCCCGATGCAGGGCTTGAACTCCCAAACTGTGAGATCATGACCTGAGCGGAAATCGGAGGCTTAACCAAATGAGCCACCCAAGCACCCCTATTGCTGTTTCCTTTAAAGCAAAAGTATTCTTAACAACTGTTTGCTGCTGTTCAAAGAAGGAGGGGATGTGTCCTAGAAGCTCTGGAAACAATGATCTCCCTTGGCAGTTATTTCTCTCAGAAGTGATAAGCCGGGTAATTTACAAGAAGAAAGCTACTGAATCCTTCTGAAAACACAACCTGGCAGTCTATCTTCAGAGCGGAATGATGAGGTGGCAAGAGTGTGATGGGGAAACCAGTCTTCGAGAACATCATGTCAGGGAATCCAGCTGTGCTTGTATGGTCTCCAGCTATTTATAAAGATAAAACAAGAGAACAAGTTGCTGAAAGCAGAGAAATGCTATGAAGGTTTGTTCAGAAACTTGCAAATAGAAGGGAAAGAATGGCAGTGGCAACCGTGCATATTAAATCCATTTACACAGCAACAGATGAAGCACGCAGAAAAGTTTTCTTCTTATGGGAAGATATTACAATTCACGCCTGCAATTTAAGTTTACAAATTTGTAAAGGAGGATTTCTAAACATGGTTTGGGGTGTCTGGGTGGCTTAGTCAGTTAAGCATCCGACTTGGCTCAGGTCATGGCCTCACAGTTTGTGAGTTTGAGCCCTGCTTGGAGCCTGGAGTCGGCTTCAGATTCTGTGTCTTCCTCTCTCTCTCTGCCCCCATTTGTGCGTGCTCGCTCTCTCTCTCAAAAATAACTAGACATTAAAAAAAAAAAAAAAAAAAACCTGGGGCACCTGGGTGGCTCAGTCTGTTGAGCACCCAACTTGGCTCAGGTCATGATCCCACAGTTCATGAGTTTGAGCCCCACATAAGGCTCTGTGCTGATGGCTCGGAGCCTGGAGCCTGCTTCAGATTCTGTGTCTCCCTCTCTCTCTCTCTTTGCCCCTCCACTCGTTCTCTCTCTCTCTCTCTCTTTCTCTCAAAAATAAAAAAAATACACTTAAACAAAAAAGGGCTAAATACAGTTTTAAATATACTCAGCTGTTTTAATTTAAGTGATCACTACATAAGATTTTTGAAGGTGGGGAAAAGGAGGAGGGGGAGTACATTTCCCTGGATTACAAAGTCAGTATTTGTAAAGAAACATAACATGCACTCAAAGTTAAATCTTTACAGGCTTGGCACCTCCCTTTTTCCTTGGGCCCAGAATTAAAATATTTAATGTTAAATTATAAAGTGCCAGTGTGGCTAGGTACCACATAGTTCATTCCTTAATGCTTTACGTTAAAGTAATAATCCTATTGCCTTAATTAAAACCATTTCCACTTTCTTCCTGATTTAGGCTGTCAGATTCTCTCCATCTCCGCAAAGCTTCCTGCTGTGAAACATAAGGTGTTTACAAGGGATGTTTAAAGAACTTAGCGCCATAATAGGACATTTAAAAATAAGGATTCATAAAAATGAAGGAAACATTATGCAAAACCCCACACAGCAGAAATTATTTGAAAAATACAGACCTTGTTATAGAAATCAAACAACTCCTGGTGACTGAATTCCACAAGAACTTTCTCCACGCTCTGCAAGGAAGAACAAGAAGAAAGAATTCAGTTGTACGCAATTTGCATTGCATGTTTTTTTTCTTTCTCTCTCTGGCTGGCCCCAGAAGATGCCCTATTATTCTCTGAGTGGTTTAAAAAAAAACAAAACAAAACACTCACCTGCTCTACTCAACCCCACCGTTCCTAGAACTCACAGCTGCACTTAATAATGCTCCACTTTTAGCAAAAGGTTTCAACTCTAGAGGGACATCTGTTCTTTAAAGTTGACTCCACAGAGGTTAATAAAATATAAGCCGGCAAGAGAATAATTTCATTATCTTTTTTTTTTTTTCTAGACCGAGATACATGAGATTGTATTTCATTTTTCTCAGCAGTCCATTTGAAATCGAGTAAATACCATCACACAAAGACATTGGAGGCGGCACGTCTGATTGAACTCATCTAGGCATTAACGCCTCCCATCAGCACAGCTGCTGCCTCTACGCATTAATCTAGCAGTTATGATCTTAACATGCTGAGATGGTTACCTTTCCTAATGTACGGACTCAGCAAAAGTTCGCAATTAACATGACAGTTTCAAAGCGGAGACCGAAACACGCTCCTTCCTTTTGCTCCAGACGTGACGGGGAACCTTCCTGGGTGCTGTGGGCACCAAGGAATACTGTGCACGTACGTGTGATGGTGCAGCAAAGCGCAGCGGTAATCCAGCCCAGCCCAACCTACTTTTGGTTCGTTTTGTAAACTGAGGCATCACTTTGAGTAGTTTCTGAAGATTGGCTAAACATGTCTTTATTTTTATTTGTTTTTAATTTAAATTCAAGTTAGTTAACAAACAGTGTAGTCTTGGTTTCAGGAGCAGAACCCAGTGATTCCTCTCTTACATATGACACCCCGTGCTCATCGCAAAAAGTGCCCTTTTAATGCCCATCACGCATTTAGCTCATCCCCCACCTCCTCTGCAACAACCCTTTGTTTGTTCTCTGTACTTAAGAGTCTCTTATGATTTGTCTCTTTACTCAAGGTGGCTTTGGGAAGTGAAAGTTAATAAGGAGAGAAAGCCAAGAACGTGCTACCCGCTCTGACCAGACTGGCACCAGGGAAGGCACCTAGGTGGCTCAGTTAGCTAAGTGACTGACTTCAGCTCAGGTCTTGATCTCACTGTTCAAGGGTTTGAGCCCTGTGTCGGGCTCTATGCTGACAGCTTGGAGCCTGGAGCCTGCTTCAGATTCTATGTCTCCCTCTCTCTCTCTGCCCCTCCCTGCTCGTGCTCTTTCTCTCTCTCTCTCTCTCTCAAAAACAAATAACATTAAAAAAAAAAAAAAAACCCAAAAGCAGGCACCAGGAACTGAAGAACTGGACAAATGTTGAAAACGACATTAATTCGTGTACTTAATCGCTTGTGATCATTTCCAACATTCTCTTAATTCTACTTCTCAGTTTCTATGGCTACTTTTTTTCCCTTTGTTTTATCTGTTGGGTTTTTTTTCCTGATTTCTTTTTTTTAAGTTTATTTACTTATTTATTTATTTCGAAAGAGACAGAGACAGCACAAGCAGGGTAGGGGCAGAGAGAAGGAGAGAAAGAGAATCCCAAGCAGGCTCTGTGCTGCCAGCGCAGAACCTGATGCAGGGCTCAAGCTCGCAAACCATGAGACCATGATCTGAGCCAAAACCAAGAGTCAGAGGCTCAACCAAGTGAGCCACCAAGGCATCCCGGTTTTAAGGATTTCCATTTCTGTTGACAAAGCCAGCATTTTCAAAACAAGTTCACTCCAGCACACCCCAGGAGAGTCGATGGGGCTATCTTCAGATACGGCATTTCCTTTTTCAAAAAAGCCAAGGCACCGGGGCACCTGGGTGGCTCAGTCGGTTGAGCATCCGACTTCAGCTCAGGTCACGATCTCGAGGTCCGTGAGTTCGAGCCCCACGTCCGTGAGTTCGAGCCCCACGTCAGGCTCTGGGCTGATAGCTCAGAGCCTGGAGCCTGCTTCTGATTCTGTGTCTCCCTCTCTCTCTGCCCCTCCCCCGTTCATGCTCTGTCTCTCTCTGTCCCAAAAATAAATAAACGTTGAAAAAAAAAATTAAAAAAAAAAAAAAAAAGTAGTAGGCTAACTGCCACACATCATTCAATCCCAAAGGTTGAGATCAGCATTATCTAGCAGTGCTGTATTTCTTTCCAGCAGTTAAAGGGAGAGGGCAGGCCTCAGTTTACCCTATGAAAATCAAGGCAAGTTCATTACTCTCTCCACAATCCAAATGTTAGGAGGGACTGAAGACTGAATTAGTATGTGAACAAATGATTTGCTGTATGGATACTTACAGGTAGTGGTCAAGCTAGGTTCTTGTTTCCTGAACTTTGCTTTGTTTCAAGGTAGTGTTTTTCTAAAATGTTACACTGAGGAAAGGGAAGGAAGGCAACTTTGAAAACATACTTCTTGAAATAACAATAGCTAAAATGATGTGTGTACATACACACACACATGTGAGTATGTGTATGTATGTATACATATATGTATACATTGGGAGAGATATGTATATATTGTCTTGGTTTATTGAAATACTTAGCCCCAAGAAGGGAAAATGCTGATACCTGAGATAAAATATGCAAAGAACTTACACTGATGTCTGGTAGGTATAATCACTGGTAGCCATTATCATTATCATTTCCCATTTAACCTGCAATGATTTAGGGAAGACCAGGAGAATTCTGGAGAATACAGGAATGGTTTTAAGTGTTGCATATCTATGTGTATAGAGATTATCCTTAGAATTTGAGAAGCTATGTTTACCCAAGGGGTGGCCAAGGGCAGTTGTTTTAGGGGGGTCATGATGGAATTTAGTTGTGTAGGACAAAAAGGAAAGGGGAGCTGGCGAAAACTCAACTCCATAATGTCATGCTCTGACATGAACTTCATGGAGTCCAAGAATTCTAAATTCAAATCTTTCCTTCTGGGACATTACTGAAGGTATATTATCACAAAAAGAGCATAGGTCGCATCTATTTAATAGTTTGAGAGCTTTATTTATGACATTAAATTTCGGTATATGGCCCATGGCCTCCATTTTTACTCATGCTTTAGGTCCCTAACACATTAGGAACAGGTGTGGTCAAATCATTCCTTGGACTGTGACATTTTTCAGAGGTAAACACACTCTGAGCTTTATTTGAGAATGTAATTAGAAAGTCACAAATGTGCTTTATCAAACCACAATCAACTCTCTATCTGCACTGCTCATTCTGCAGAGAATGTATGGAAGATTCTTTTCCCTAAGGAAGCATGTTTTCAAACAACTCCTCTTTAGTTTCATGTCTGGTCACAAATCAGTGGCAGTCCAGACCCAACAAAAATGTAAGAAATGCATTAAGTTAAATGTCAGTCCAATTATTGGTATTTCAGGGGTGCTTGTGCTTGGATTGTCTAGCTCTGTAAACACTCCAAGACTTCGACTCAACTCATGGTTCATTAATATCTTTGTTAAGGCAAGAAGAGAAAATGAAACTGAAATTCAAAAATGCCATCTCAGCTATCAGTAGCAATTCTAACAATAGGCTTTCAGAAGGACTATGTAGAAAATCCTGGCTACTGTAGTTTTATAGGCTGTATTTGACAATGGGTTTAAATATCCATGTGCTTCCTGTCTATCACTGTCAATAGATAATGAGACTTGACTATTTGGTCCTATTTTTTTTTTTCCCCTAAAGAGTCAGAAAGATAGTCTGGATAATAAAAAGTAGCCTGTTATGTCATAGTAAATAAGAAGAGAAATATCTTTGTGACATAAAACTACAGTGGCAAAAATCACAATGCACTGTCATCTTGTCAATCATATACGGTAAGTATTTTAAACTTGAACTACATACCTCTAAATCACACATGTGTATTTTTCATATGTGTGCATATATATACACATCTTTAGATAGTACTGTGCCTCACTTTTTACATAGTCAAATGTTTAGGAAAAAGTTTATGAGAACATTATATCCCCATTCTTCCAGTAATTAGATACAAAAGATATTTACATATAAGGCAAACTATATTTTAAGTTAAAAGAATTAAAAAAATGATAATTCTAACAGAGAGTTTATACTGTCTTCCAGAGGAATATAATAACTAGGTAAGTACTAAAAATTATTTCTGGAAGGGCTTTTCATTGCTTGTGTGTTTAACAGGCCTATCAATGGATACTGCTATTATCCAGGATAGCTCATGGGTAACATTTACTAGATTTGATGGAAAAAAAAAAAGAAGTAAATTCAGACATAAAGGAAGAAAATGACAGTAATACAATAATAGTAGGGGACTTTAGCAACCCACTTACTTCGATGGATAGATCATCTAGACAGAAAATCAATAAGAAACAGTGGCCTTAAACAACACATTACGTCAGATGGACTTAACTGAGATATAAAACATTCTACCCAAAAACAGAATACATGTTCTTCTGAAGTGCACATGGAACATACTGTAGGAAAGGTTACATGTTAGGTCACAAAACAAGTCTTAATAAATTTAAGAAGACTGAAATCATATCAAGCATCTTTTCATACCGTAATGGTATGAAAATAAAATCAATGACAAGAAGAGAACTGGAAAAACCACAAACATGTGGAGGCTAAACAACATGATAATAAACAAACAATGAGACAACAGAGAAAGAATAAATAAATACCATGAGACAAATAAAGATGCGAACACAACAGTTCAAAATCTATGGGACACAAGAAAAGTACTTTAAGAGGGAAATTTATGGCAATACATACCCATCCTAAGAAACAAGAAAAAATTTAAGACAAACAATCTAAGCTTACACCTAAAGGAACTAGAAAGAGAACAAGCAAAACCCAAAGTTAGTAGAAGGAAGAAAATAATAAATATCAAAGTGGAAATACATGAAATAGAGACAAAAAAAAAAAATCAATGAAACTAAGAGCTAGTTCTTTGAAAAGACAAACAAAATTGTTAAACTTTTAGCCAGACTCCTCAAGAAAAAAAAAAGAGAGGGCCCAAATAAATAAAA